CTTACAGTCCGGAGAAGCTAGTCCACCCTTTCCAGCCTCATACCAGCCGCTTCACAATTGTTTGTGAACCACTCCAGTGAGAGCTGAAGATCACAACACTATGACGCCAGCAGGATCACATCATCTGCAAATAGCAGAGAATGACTCCCTCCATCCCTTGGCTGCAATGAGAAACTCTGTCCCCAAAGTTGTGAACAGAAGTTGTGGCAATTGGCAACCTTGTTGGAGTCCAACTCCCACCCTGAAGGAGTCTGGCTTACTGCAATGCAAATCCAAACTCTCAGTCTTGTATATGGACTGAATGGCCAGTAGCAACAGATCCCAAATCCCATAGTCATAAAGCACCTTTTATAGTGTACCTCAAGGAACATGGCTGAATGTCTTCTCTAAGTCCACAAAACATACACAGATGGGCACTAGATGTTCAAACTCCCATGCCTCCTCAATGATCTTTGTGAGGATAAAGAGTTTGTCCAGTGTTCCACAGCCAGAATGGAACATGCATTGCTTCTCTTGGGCGGCTGTGGCTGAATGGTTAGAGCAGTCGTCCTCCAATGCAAGAGTTGGGGGTTTGAATCCACCAGCAATCACATGCCCAAGTGTCCCTGGGCAAGACACTGAACCCCTCATTGCCTCTGAAGTGTGTCCCATCAGTGTATGAATGTGATCTAAAAGCACTGATTAGCCTCATTAGAATGATTTGTTCAATTAGCTTTGTAGTGATCTAGTAGAGTGCTGTATGAATGGGTAAATGAGGCACAGATTGTAGTGTAAAGCGCTTTGAGTATCTTGAAATAAGATAGAAAGGTGCTATATAAGTACAGTCAATTTACCATTTACCATTCCTGAATCTAAAGTTCAAACCATTGATTGGACTCTCTTCTCCAGCAGCCCTGAGTAGACCTTACCAGGAAGACTAAAAGGAGTAATGCCCCAGTAAATGGAACACACCCTTCAGTCTGCTTAAGCAATCCCCAGGTTTAGACAGACCAACCCCCAAGTCCCCAGAATCAGTTTCCTCTTTGAAAGACATGCCATTGAAATTGAAAAGGTCTGAGAATTATTTCTTCTGCCACCCGACATCACTAGTTGAGGTCAACAGCACTCCACCTCCACTTTTAGAAAAGTGCTGCTTTCCCCATCTCAGCCACCTGATGGTTTGCCAAATTCTTCTCAGAGGTGATGGAGAGTGTCTATCCAAGGCCTCACTGAACTATTCCTACATCCAAGCTATAGCCTCAGCAACAGCCTGACTACAGTCCACTTGGCCTGATGATACTCCTCAGCTGCCTCCAAAACCTAGCAGCCAACAAGGCCCAATAGAGGCCTCCTTCAAGTTGACCACCACCTGGGTTTGAGGATTGTATTCTGTTCTAATTTACATTTTACACAACAACCCAACTTTTTTAGGACTGGGGTTGTACATGAAGCTCCTGTTTAGGATCTGTCAAGCAAGTAGTTTCTAAACAGGAAGACTTAGATGGTTCAGTGCAACAAATTATTACCAGATTATTACTATCTTACTCTAAGATGCCATGTTTTTCTATTTTTTACAGGACATCACCGAGCTGATGAATACAGATAGGCCGGACTGGCAGAGTGTCATGCAGTATGTCTCTCAAATCTATAAGTACTTTGAGACCTGATGTGTCAGGAAGCTGGAAATGACGATCAGATGCATCACAGCTCCCTGTAGCTCCATCTTTCTGCGCTAAATCCTCCTTTCACACTGGCTGAAAGCTGCCGTGCTGACTGTTCATTTATATAACACAAGAAACCAAGGACCAAGGAGTTTAACCCTACAGATAGAAATTGGGGTAAAAAGTACATAGCCTTTTGCCCACAAAGCATTTTTTCCAAATGGATTTAGCTGCAAAGTAGCTTTGATTTCCACTTACCAGCAAAATGAAGAGCTGGGTGAAAACTGGTCCAATTTTTGAGTTTCTTGTATAAAAATGTTTTTTTTTTTTTTCTGTTGACACTTTTTTTTTATTTCTATAAATCACCATAATACATGGAACTATGAAGATGGTTGAACCTAACAATGTGCCAAAATGCAACTCAAACTATCTATGCATGATAGAGGCGTGACTTTTCGTCTCACTCAGATTGAGAGTAACTGAACAGAGTTTATTGTTTAATCTGAAGTTCTGTTTGAGAGCAGAAGATGTTTAAATGACACATGTGAGTTAAGCTGAAGTCTCATCACCTGGATCATCTTGAAGAAGCAGATGAGACTAAAAGTCATCGTCATATGTGATGTGAGACTGATTAGATCTGAGAATGTAAGAGTGATAAATAGTTTTGTGGAAATATTTTTCTGGAACCAGGCTGGTCTTTATGTTTGGCTGATTGAAGTCATCATGATGTTCCTCTACATGTCCCATCGACTCTCGCTGAAGAGCTGAAGCTGCTCTGTTTGTGTTTGACTTCGAATTAAGAGTTTCACATGTGAGAGAGCAGGACACGGTTGTTTCTGTGTGGTCCGGTTTGGACGTGTTTCCATTTTCAGACACCTGATTATTATTTGGAAAAAAAAAAAAAGTTGTATTTATTTATTTACATAATGTTGAAAATGAGGACAGAAATCTGTTGACTGATGTCAGATACTTTGGCTTTTGCTCAATAAAGATTGTAAAGATTTTCTTTAAATTGTTGTTGCTGCATTTTATTTCTGAAGTTGGAACACATGTGTGGGGAATGGTTCAGCATTGTGTGTGTGTGTTTTAAACACATTACTGCTCCATGAGCATTGAATAGCGTTCCCACTGTGCCATTAAAGCTTCGTGCCAGGACTGGAAAACCTTCCAGTGTGTTAAAACACAGAGGGGCTGCTGCTTTCCACAGCACACCTTTTGTTTCACTGTAACACATTTCTGTGGCCATATAGGTTCCCATGGAGTAACACTTAAAAGGACAATTCAACCATTTGGAAGTAAAGTTTAATGTACATGTTATTTATTGTCTGTAGATAACTTAATAAATAAACTCAGTTTGAAAAAAATGACTCCCTCGACGAGCTAATGGCTAGTCTGAGCTCACCTAGGTCAAATATGTTGCTGCCATTTTAAAACCATCCATCCATCCATTATCTTTACCCGTTTATTCCATTTTGGGTCATGGGGGTCGCTGGTGCCCATGTCCAACAATCACTGTGCGAGGGGCGAGGTACACCCTGGACGGGTCGCAAGTCCATCACAGGGCCACATAGAGACAAACGAGACAAACAAACATTCACTCTCTCACTCACACCTAGGGACAATTTAGAGTTACCAATAATCAGCCTAACATGCATGTTTTTGGTCTGTGGGAGGAAACCGGAGTACCCGGAGAAAACCCACGCATGCACGGAGAGAACATGCAAACTCCACCCAGAAAGGCCCCTGGACCGGGGTTTGAACCAGGGACCTGTTTGCTGAGAGGCAGCAGCTCTACCAGTTGCGCCACCGTGCTGCCCCATTTTAAAACCACTCGACTCAAACATGTTACAACAGTTGGTTTGTTATTTTGATTAGCCCATGATCTACAGCAGCATGCATGCACAGCTGTTCACGAGAATTATTATTAGCAGCAGTTATAGCACTTCTGGTGCAGCCTGACCCACTTCCTGCAGAAATGTGGTAATATTCCTTCAGGAATAACTAAGTCATGCTAAACTGATGATGTTACATGTGTTTGCAGATAAGCTCTGGCATCAAATGCTATAAAATCCTGAAGACTGAAGTTGTTTTAAGTCGGTAAATATCTTTTTGAAGTGGGTGTGAGCATGAATTGTATTGATGAGCTAATAACAGCTGGTCCAAGTGGATCCACATCAGATTATTGTCTTAAAATGAATTCAGGTTTTTAACATTTCTAAACTGTTTTTTTTTTTTGTTTTTTTTTTTTTGCAAAAGCTGTTATTAAGACCTTTACATGATTTTTAGATTATGATTTTTCAGCGTGGAAGAACCACCATAAAAACCTTAAAATTGTTTTAAGACTTCTACAATTTACTTTATCTAGTTAGCTCATTTATCCTAAACTCCATTTCTTCAAACTGAGGCTGTTCAAAAAGCTACTGGTAAGATATTAACTTTTAACAGAACCCCACTTTAAAATGGTTTATATCCCTTGTAATATGTGCAGGGACTTCAGAGGGTTACAGACAGATCAGTGATGTGTCCGTGTTTCATTAATGAAGAAACTTGTCTGATCAAACATCTGATAATCCCATCAGTTTCAGTTTTTTGCTCCCACGCACCCACCTTCTTATTAGTTTACCTGATTTACATACAAGTAATTTTCTTTAATTGCTCCTTTGTTCCCATCAGGTTGTGACTGTGTGTTCAACTCCAGACAGAGCTAAGAAATCAAAGCCCGGTTTGTGTGTGTGTGTGTATGGGGGTGGGGGTGGGGGGGGGGGGGGTGTAAATGAATGAAACTGAGTCCACAGCTCGTGTCAGTCCTAAATGATCTGCTCACATCCGAACAGCGTTGACACGAGACAGGAAGGAAACCGTGAGTTTTATAACCTCTTAATTGGCGCGTAATTACGCACGGTGACGCTCGCTTGGAGTTCCACTTTTACGCTGCGCTTCTAACAGCATGCGTGCGTGTGTGTGCGCGTGCGTATGCCGGGGCGTGGCCTCTGTGTGAGCGAAAGCCCCACAGACAGTCTGATGGAAGTTGTGTGTGCGTGAGACTGTGCATGGGAGCAGAAGCCGCTCAGACGCTGCGCTGCTCGGTCGCTGCCGGAGTGAAAACATCCAGAGATGCGCAGACGCATTAAGGTGAGTCCCACTCATGTTCACAAGGACAAGTGAAGAATACAGATTTCATCCCATTTACATCTTTTTTTTTTCCCTCTCTTCCAACTTGTTCCAAAATTGATGCCCTCACTTTCCAACAGATGGCAGATTGCGCAGCCACTTGTTGCGGAGGATTCCTGGATTACAGCGCAGAGACTTCTTCTTGTTTTTGTTTACTCCTCTGGGACTAGAAGTGTTGCGGATGGTGCTCCATGTAACCAGCAGCCTGCAGGTTTTAGTCCAGACTTTGCTGAGATGAAGGCGTACTACATCGTGATTGAAGTAGTCATTGCGATCCTCTCCATATTCGGCAACGTGCTGGTGTGCTGGGCTGTGGCCATCAACAGCACCCTGAAGAACGCCACCTTCTACTTCCTGGTATCCCTGGCCGTGGCTGACATCCTGGTGGGCTGCCTCGCCATCCCCTTCGCCATCATCATCAGCGTCGGCTTGCCCCTGGACTTTTATGGATGCCTCTTCCTCGCCTGTTTCGTCCTGGTACTCACCCAGAGCTCCATTTTCAGCCTCCTGGCCATTGCCATCGACAGATACCTGGCTGTGAAGATCCCACTGAGGTGAGTCCTTCAGAGTTAACAGTTCAGGTATGAAAATAATAAGTACAGTCTTTAATCTTATCAAGCTGAGCTCTAATTAACCGAAAGTCTGACAAATGTGCAGGTCCAGCTGTTTCATCATCAGCTTACAGTCCATTTAAGTGTTGGATTATTTGTTTCCTGGTGCTGCCACATCTCAGATCAGTTTCCTGCATGTGAAAAATAATTATCTGAAGGAATCGTAATCAGAAAAGCACAAATAAAATCTGGACATAAAGACTTTAAGATGGTTGTTTTAGAGCTCGTCTTCATTCTGGCAACAAATGAGCTGCAGCAGCAACAGTCTGATGTGTCGTGGACATTCCTTCAGTGGATCAGTAAGTCAGAGGACCGTGTGGGCTTTATCTCTGATCTGCTACGGTTTGTTCAGACATCAGCAGATCTGCATGCAAACATTCAACATTAAAGTGACGACGTGACACGAGAACAGCTTTGGGTACAAATAAGACTTCTTTGAGTCCAGATCCACACCAAGGTCCACCACTTTGGGACCATTTAATCAACAGTAAGCAAAGATTTGTCTTCATGGCAGCACGAGGTGCTCCAGAATCTGGTTGAATTTATCAAACTTTCACTGAGGAGTAAATGTGTGCAGCTCCCTGTCTTCTCTCTGAGAACAAGCTGGTGACTCTTTTAATCCAAAGTTTCAGAAATAAACAAAAGTGCAACTTTTTCTTCATCTTTTGTGGATGAGTCAGCAACTTTTAGGGGTTTGAACTTGTGTTTGCAGCGGTGAATTTATCCAGAGTTCTGTTTAAAGCAGCGCTTCTGAGTCAGGCTGGGACTTTCACCGTCTGGTTTAAAGATCAGAACCATTCATACCAGTTTGTAGTGTCATCCCTTCTCTACAGACTGTCAAACATTTATTCTGTTTAATCAGAAAATCCTTTGGGAGTTGTATTTTACAGCCAGATGTGCAGCTCAAGTATTTTGTGTTCCTGATGTGGACAGATAAATAGATGCCAAATGTTGTTTTTAATTGATTTTCTTTTATTTTACTAGTTTTGTTTCTCATGTTCCAGTTTTGAAACACAGTACTGCAGGCAAACTTTTTTTTGGTTTTAATTTAAAGAACATTTCATTTAAATAATTTTAAGCTGGAAGGTTTCTTCCCATTAAAAGCGAGTTGTTTCTTTCCACCGTCACCACCGTGTCGCTCACGATGAAGGATTGGGGGAATTTATATATATATATATATATATATATATATATA